AAGGTTTGTCATTTCTAATAGTTATCACTGCTGAGCTCTGTGAATGTTAGCTGTCATAAATATATGAGGCCTGTCTACACACTCATTCTGCCAATGACCCCATAAAATTGGTCAGAAAACAAGTGTCGGTCTTTTAGCAAGTTAACAATTTGAAAGGGTCTCAGCAGAATAAAACTTTCAGTTTCCCTAAGTTGCTAGCGCCAGTGACTAACATGAAGGCAAAGGGGCAACTTCATTAAGCAAATGCTACCTAATTTTAATATATGTTCTTAATTGACAAGATTTTGACACAATCTACCTTGGTTTCCCACTCTCAGAATGAAATAAGACTGCCAAATTTATGGGACCAGTAATTGTCTTCTTGATGTGTTTCCAACGAACACCACCTCTTGAGAGGTAGAATCACCAAAGAGTGAAAGATAGACTCCATGAAGAGACAGCCTATACTACTTGTACAAATACTTATCTTATTTTCCTCAATATGCCACATTATGCTTTCTTAAGAAGCTACATTTAGTTGATCAACATACAATCTCTGTGAGAGAAAAGGTGGATAAATAGAACCCAGCCTCCCATTTCACCGATTGAAAGTTAAGCAAGAAATAAAATGAGAGCACCACCTCAAATCGTCCTTGAAGCTTTCTGCACAATGGTAGCTAATACAAGTCAGACTTTGAATACTTTGGGAGCATACCTGCTCTGAATCACTCAAGTGTCATTTTGAAATAATTTGATGTCGATAATAAAATGTCAATATTGTACTCTGATCATAATTATTGCATTTATCTTAAGAAAAAAAGTAAGTGTATGGGTAATTTTTTGTGCAGTATGCTAAAACAGAAGTTTATTTAGTAGAATTATATTTCATTCAAGATATTCACGGCTGCTTATCTGAGCCATTTTTTTTCTGGGACGTTAGGATAGATCAGTATATTAGGAAATAAAATTTGCAAGAAGTTACAGACTTAACAAGTCTACACATGTCATCTAAAGAGATAAAATAAACAGTTAACCACACAGTAATAAAAAAATTCAACTTGTATGTTAAAAGAAAGATGCCTATGGAAAGAATGCAATTAGGTAAGATAGATCAAGACTGACAGGCAGTCAGGCCACAGGTTATATTAGGTTGGTTGGTAAGGTAGATTGCATCAACAAATATCCCACGTGAAGGGAGATTATCCAGAGTGACCTGATGTGTTTACAGGGCAGAAAGGAGATCAGTGCAGCTGAAGAGGTGTGCGCAGACAGAGTGCTATGTGAGGTGAGGTCAAAGAATGTATGGAAGGCAGGTCACTCCGGGCTGCACAGAGATCCAATGCAGGGTGAACAGGGTGTGATTTCAGGACTCAGAACAGGCAAATGGTATGATCTGACTTAAATTTTAAAAAGGTCCTACCATAAATTATTAAATCTTTAAAAAATGAATAATCCAATATATTGCATAACCTGTGCTATGTACCTTAATCTCAATATACCAACCTCCTCTCAGAATTAAATGTCATTTTTCTCACTTTCCCAAAGAAAATATCAGATCTCAGAGTCTCTAAGGAACTTCTCTGGGTAAGATAAAGGAGCAAAGTCAGGTGAATAACTTTTCTAACTTATTGTTTAAAGTCTGACTTCTCTTTTCTAAGTATTTATGCATATTTAAGTTATAAGTGAATTAAAACAACACTTATGGCTATTTATCCAATTATTCATCCATGAAGATGCTCATTATGTATGTTATTATTGAATTGAATACTAATTATTTCCCTTATTAACTTCTGGAATATGACAGAGTATTCACCTCAACTTTCTATTTCAAATGACACGTGTCCATTCAGGTTAGGACTTTTAGAGAAGTGAAGAATATACACTATTCTCAAAGAGGACCTGAGTTTATTTACCAAAACTCCCAAAACTTCCCGTGATGTCAACTCCAGGATAATATGACATCCTTGACCTCCAAGGACCCCTGCATTCATGTGCACATGCACCCACACAGACACAGACATACTCATAAAGAAAAGGAGCAAATGCTGTGCTGCTGCAATGATGAGAATAATTAAAATTTTCAAGTGTCCATTTAGAAATTTTTCCACAGGCTTTCATTTATTTTCAATCATTTTTCTAACTGTCTACATGCACACAATTTTGATACATGCATTGCATATGACATAATAGTCCACATTTATCAAAGAATTGAAATATAAACTGTACTTTAGGAATATTAACTGTGCATCTACAGAGGCAAAGTATTTCAAGTTTGAACAAGTGCTGAGGACCAGAGCTGGTGTGCTAAATCTTCTGAGTAAGAGACTCATCTACCCCCTTGAGTCGCACTTCATACATCAGCAACCAAGCTCAGATAGCAGGCCAGGTACAAGTATTCCCATTTTCCAAATAGCAGAAAGTTAATAAAAAAATCAACATTTATTTTATGGCCACAATAGGCAAATCAAGGTCCATCTGCAGAAAACACAGAGGATTTACGATGCAACATCCCTACCCTACAAAACTATTAAGGTTACCAGAGGAACTTAAAAATTAAATAAATAATACAAGATAATATGCAACAAGTTCTATGTGGTCTACAAATGTAGCAACTGTTAAAGAAATTCAACAGGCAGAGAATTGAATCTTGGTATTTCAACTCAGTCAAGAAGGTCGGTACTGAAGACCACTGGCATCATAATGGTTTCTATAGAAACGTGAAGTTTTCTATCAGCAGAAGAGGTGAATAGAAGTCATTCTACTAACAGGAGATAATAGAGCCACAGGCCAAAGGAGCAGATGGAAGGGATTGTCGAAAGAAAACTAGTAAACTTTGAAGTGCAAGATAAATGGGAATTGACCTAATATGGAAAATGAACCCAGAGAAGCATGGATCCTAGGACAGGAGGAAAGAAAGTGGATTTGATGAAATCAAATTATTATTAGCATGGGGCACACATTTGTGTATCCTGTGTTGTTATGCAACATTCCCAATCAGCTCAGAAAGTAGAAAGGAAGACACACTTCATCCACTTTTAAGCAAAGGAAACAAGGTTTCTCTGCTGTGGCAGCTTTGTGGGAGAGGGATGCTGTAGAGCACTACTCTAGAAAGGCTGACACATAGCCTATGCTCTTCCAGTATCATCAACACCATCCATCAGATGGGAAGCATCGAAGGCATTTGGTCAAGAGAAGAGAGCGGCACACATAGATTAGCAGTGTCAGAGCAATCAGATCACCAGATAACTAGCAGATGGTCGTTACTGAGGAATTGGGAAAAAAGAATAGCCTAAGAAAGGACACAATATATTACATTAAACCAAATAACAAGACAATGGGCATCCACACATGAATGTGAGCAAAAGGAATTTTTAATATGAGATACTATAAAAAAAGAATTAGAGACCATGGTAAGATTCAAAGCCAAAAATAGGTAGTCTTTCGTACCCCACCATGCAACCTTAAATCAAAACTTCTTTTTAAAATTAAAAAAAATAAAGTTCTAGATCTAGTTTCAATATTTTCCAATTTATTTTGCATCAGGTGATTTATTTAAAATCAAAACTTGCTGTGTCTAAGATAACAGAGCTGCCATAGTGCAATTTCACACCCTGGACAACCACTATGAATTGGGCAGCTGTGCACTAGACTTGCTTCTCTGGTGTGTGAGCAACATGAGAGTTACTTGCCTTTTTTCTAACTTGGGTAACGAGCCCTTATGTTAGAAATATCCAATACTGAGGAGATACAGCTTTCTTTTATATGTTTCTGGGCCCTCTTTTAAACTCAAGATACCACTTAAGGATTCAAGTGAATTTTAACAATAATTAAATGGCATACTGCACAGGAAGTTGGATCTGTTTCTCTGCTTTCTTACCACTCAAGACATTCTGGACAATTTCCAAAGATACATTTAAAATAAACAATTGCCTATCTTTATCAAAATAACTATTAACTAAATTAAAAATTCATACATTAAGTCGATACCAAATTTTCACAAAGTCACATGTAGCTCAGGCGGGACTGGAACTCACTGTGTGACTGGTTAAGGAAAACCTTGAACCCTTGATCTGCTTACCTCTAGTTCCCAAATGCTGAGATCACAGATGAATGCCATTAGGCCCAATTTAGTACAAACCCCAGTCGGCAGAATTGCGAAGTTGTTAATGCTGGAATAACCATGTAACTTGCTGATCATTACCTGGCATAGAATATTCAGCTCATTTTTCTTATTATTGAATGAGCTAACCATTTCATTAGGTATGTTGTACATGGACGTATTTATCACATTTGGTTTCTTAGTTAAAGCTTTTTGTAACATATCAATATCTGTACAAATAGATACATATTTAGCAATCTTAAAACTCATTAGTGACATTTTGGCTTGGGATAGTTGTAGCAATCCTGCATCTATGTTACTTTCATCTAACTCTAGAATCACTTAGCATTGCTGAATGGTAATTAAAACTTAACTCAATAGCCAACCCTATTTCCTTTACTTTCTTGGATTAAAAAGTTTTTATTTGAAAATTGTTGTTGGAGTTTGAAAATCAACTGTGTGACAACCTCTTGGAGCAAAATTAAAGCCACTCCATATTTGACACTTCTGTATAAAATTATTATTGAAGATCTATACTAATCTGAAAATAAGCATCTGTAAAAAGTGGTAATTAAGTAACTCATGATACTGCACAAGTAAAACAGATAAATAATTGCAAAATTAGACATATTCTCTGAATGAAAAACAGGTCTCTTTCAATAAATTAATTAGAAAATTCTTCACACACACACACACACACAAACCTTGTCTCCATATAAATGTTTCACACAAGGTATATAAAATATATTAGGCATGTGCAAAAGAAAGCAATAAGGTTCATTTTGTGCATCTTACTTTCTGTTATTCAGGACATCAAATGCCTGATAATATGTCTTCATGAATGAAGATGAGACTTTTACCTTTAACTTGTAAAGCCATTGTTACATTACGGTTTATAGAAACAAAGGAGAACTATTTTTACCTCCCAGTCCTGGTCTAAGCCGATTATCATAACCATCCAGAAGTCTGTCTAGTATTCTTGTAAAGATGGTAATGTTATTTTTAGCCTCATCTTCTTGGATGTTAGCCAGTACCAACCTAAACAGATAATTTTACAAATTGGTATATATTTTATATATGTACGCACTGTGTTTGGCTAAGTGCCAAAATGCTCTTCTTACTTGATCTAAATTTGAGGATTCTTTGGCCATTAGTGACACACACTTTTTTCCTTTTTTCATTCTATAAATATCACTCAACTTATAGGAACAGTAACTATAGTGTTTAAAAATGGATAACACATAGCAGAATATCAGAAGTATAATTACAATACTTTTGAGATTTTTGCCACTTAGCACTCTGTATGGCTTATCTTAAAATCTATTGCATAAAACGTACCATATTTGTAGATTCTCATGTGCCAACAATACTGGCGAGATTGTTTTGCAGTTAGATGGAGCATGGTAACTAGAGAGACTTCCGAAGTGTTTCTTCAGTGTTGTGAACACTAACTGGAAAATAAACTGTCATCTTGGTGGTACAAAGCTCTCGATCGTTCTCATAGATAGCATTGTTTTTCTATGTCTTTCACATTTTTAGACCAAGATAATTTCCTGACTTGGGGTATACCTCCACCCAATGGCCAAGTGTAATATAGACATCAGGGAAACTCCACTGGCAGGCTGCCAGGCTCAATGTAGCCGGGAGATGGAGGTGGGTTCTAAAGGCTGCAGCCACGCACAATCGCACAGAGTCTTTAGGAAGGCTAGGTCTGTGGAGTAGTCCCAGAAGAGAGATAAGGGGCTACATAAAGATAAATGTGTCCAGTTACCCCTTTTTGGTGATAAAATTTGTGAGAAGAGATGGTCTTAAAATACCCTCAGCCATGCTTTTGAAGCAGTGATTTTCTCCATTATTTCTCCGTCATAAAGCCAGAGACCTGATTTTGTGACAGCAATTTGGTACCAAAGAAACTGATGTATAAAACAGAGTGTCCCTTTCCATTGCCATTTTTTCTCAGAATGATTCAGAGATTTAAATTACTGTCCCCAAAAAAGAATCATTTATATAATAGAATAAAATACTGCCATGAACATTATTGGTTAAATATAGAACAGAAAATGAATAGAGTGATACTCAGTTAAGCAATTGGTTGTGGTTCTCAATGGGCATTAGTTGGTCATAGATTGCCTACGTCTCTAAAGTCAATGCTCAGGTGTACTTACATGCTAGTCAATGTACATCATATAAAACATCATTGACAGAGACCATTTACACTGAAATAAATGTGAAACAGTAGCTAACAATACTCATAATAACATCAAAAGTGGCAACAAATGTCAAGCTAACATGTTGAAAAGCATAGTGAATATTAAAGTGTGAAAGAACCATCTCGAATTATATAAGTAAATCAGTTCATATACTCTACCCTCAAAAGTTTCTGCTTGCCTACTTTAAGGTAATTGTAAAACCCCTCACTCGGATAGTCACAAGAGTCTGCGATTTTCTCACAGAGCTGTTTTTCGGTCATATTTCATATTCTTTCTCTAAAGTCAGTTAATGGGTATTTCCCAATTAAAATTAAGTATTTCCAAATAGATTTCTTTTCATTTCCAAAATATCTGTTCACACTTTGAAGATTAGTTGGTCAAAATTCTTAAGGGGGATAATAAAATGCTATAATATTTATTAAAAATTAATGGCTATTGAAGAATTCTCACAGAATTTATGTTTTAACTCTTCTAGTATTTAAAAACATTTTCTAAATGCATTAAGTTAAATATATCCACTGCTCAATTTTTAAAAATCAGAACAGATTACAATTAAGATGAAATTGCTTAAAACAATCAAATTAACTTCTGTATAGATAATCTGCAAAAGAAAAATCACAAATTCAAAATGACTGTTTTTATCAGTAACCATCTGCTAAGAAAAATATCTCCAAATTAATAATATAAAAAGTTGTTTCATAGATCTTTTGTTTTTTGTTTGAGATTGTGGAGTTGTATACTACCTCCACCTAGAGGTTTAAGACTCTCATATCATTTGCGTTCTCTATGTTGTTTTTATAAACCCCAATGATTGAAAACAAAAATACAAAGGAAGAAACAGAAAGAGAAGGAAAAACCTAAGTTTCCACTTAAATCATGTATCTGATACTTCTCTGTCTGCTCAGAGGAGAATTTGGCTCCCTCACCAGATTCTTCATGTATCTTAGCTACAGGCATTCTTTGGACTAATACTCCTGATAGAGTATTCTCCAGTTAAGTGTTACATATAGAAAAATGTGTCCGTTTCCTTTCATTTGTTTTCGTTTTAAGAAAAAAAGATCAGCAAACTTTTTCGAGTTTCAGACACTTAACGGGTTAATTTTCTATACAATACATTTCCATTCAAAAGAGTTCTTCAAATCACCTCGACTCTAAAAGATCACAGATACACTTAATGGCATTTAAAAAAAATCACGCTATACCTGAAATGCAGAAACCAAACACAGCGTCTCACCTGGCTGGGTCCCACACCAGGAAAACAAGCAGCAGAGACCGTACATTGCAGGTGTTCAGTTTTGTCTTCATCTTCCTTGTTTGAAAAGCTACGGAAGAAAAACAAGATAAAATTAAAATTGTTCTGAGTCCTACCAACCAAGTAACCCCAAAGAAAGCCATTTCCGTTGTGGCAGTGGGGGGTGTTACTCCCGTGTACTAGGTATACAGGTGTAGGACTAGATGACTGAAGGAGAATTTTTTTTAATGACTAGATGACGCTACTTCATACCCCACCACCACCACCACTTAACTTCCCCCAGCCCCGTCTTCTGCAAACACTTCTCTATGCACACACAAAATGACAAGACCCCGGGAGTCTAAGCTGACACATGTGCTTACAGAGGAATAGATTGGAGAGTGAGTGGAAAAGAGGTGGAGAGCTGGATACTCCATGCCTCGCCCTCTCAGCGGAGACCACCTCCGCAAGCACAGCAGGAAAAGCTAGCAGCAAGCCGCCTACTTTTCAATGCCTGTCTTTTCCTTACAGTGAATTTCAATCCTCGCGTGTTCACTTTCCCAAACAACAACCACCACCCCACGTCAAAAAAAAAAATAGAAAATCAAATCCAAATCATTCTCCCTGCCCATCCACATTTACCCACGTCCACGTTCAGGAGACAGCAGGGTGGGAATTAAGTGCTGCGAACTACGTGTTTGACAGCTGCTCTAGAGCCGAGACTACCCAAAGATCTTCAAGATCAAACACCAAGCAGGCAAGGCAGCGCAGCCACTGTGTGCAAAGTTGGAGACTGTCAAAGAGCCGGGCCAGCATGCTGCCACCGGACTGGACTGGCTTTTGAATTTTTATTGTAGTTGCAAATACGCTTCTGGAGAAGGACGTTGGAATTAGGTTTTGGAAGCTGGAGGGCAGAGGAGAACCTCAGCCTCTATTTCGAGGGAGCAAGAAGAGTGGAGTGGGTTGGGGGTGGGGGGGGCATGCTGGCGAGGCAAAGGAAAATGGGCAAAGGTCGCCCGCTGCCACCAACGTTTGCGACCCTACCTGAACAGCAAGCAGAAGTAGATGTTTTCCTCCAGTAGCTCTGATTCTGAGGAGATAGAAAACTTGAGAAAGAGAGAGAGAGAGAGAGAGAGAGAGAGAGAGAGAGAGAGAGAGAGAGAGAGAGAGAGAGACTGCAGCAGCCTAAAGAGCAGGCAGCAAAGGGATGGGCTGGTGGAAGCTGAAACAGAGCGCAAGGAGCAGCGGCCGCGCGAGGAGTAGGCGGCGAAGGCGTCCGTAGTGGCGGTGATGGGCGGAGGAGGAGGAAGAGGAGGAGGGAGTAGCGATGGCAGGAGCCGGCGGTGGGGGCGCGGAGGCACGATGCGCGCAGGCAGCGGCGGGCACGAGCCCCACGCCAGGAGAAGGAGGAGCCAGTCTGAGGAGGAGGGCTAATGAGGTTCAAGGGAATAGGGGACCCCCACCCCCACCCCAATTCTGTTCAAGCCAACGCCGCCCTCTGGGCACCTAGGGCTGCGCAGCCAGGGAGGTGCGGGGCACCCCAGTGAGCCCTGGAGCGCTGGTGCTGGCGCCCACACCGCCCTGGAGGAGCAGAGCCCACGCCCCACCCGGAGCTGTTCTCCGGGGGCTGCAAGCTTCCTGGTGGGTGGGTTAGCGGGGCGCTGCTGGTGAGTGTGGGTGAGAAACTCTGAATGGTGCGTGTCGATGAGGCCCTAGGTCCCGCGGACTGTTCCCTGACGCTGGTCCCCCGACATCATCTCTGGTGGAGCGATGTGACTGCCTGGAAGAGGTAACGATGTATGGCTCCCACTGGAGGGCGAAGGGGCTAATCACGCCTTTACTTAGTCATCAACGCATCCACGCAGGACCAAGTTAAACGCACGTTATGTGGAATTACACAGCAGGAAGTTTCTTTGATTTCCTTAGCCTTCTGGATGTACCTCTCATTCCTCCGCACTCTGGCAATCAGGACCAATTTCCCCTCAAGCTAGGAGGGCTGGAGACTTTCCCAGAGCTGGTCAGTGAAGGCCCTGGACCGACCTTACACATCAGGAAACCTCCTGCCTACTCTCAGCAATGGCTTTTCCCTAATCTCTTTGCCAGGCATTCTCTTTACCTGGTGATCAAGACTCAATCAAAGAGCTATAAAAAGTTTACATTAGCCTGAAGCAAAGGGGACCCGCTGCCACTTTCCATTGCCTTCTGCAGATGGTAGCAAGATGAAGCAGTTTGAGGCTTCCCCCCTTTAGGGCTTTTTCTTGGCAGAGACTTGTAATTTCAATCCCATCATACACTTTGAGCATTCTGTATTTGATCTGTCTGATTTTTCTTCCGTTTTATCTGGGGCGATTAAATCCAATCGAACAACTTGAACAAGGAAAGAAAAGGGAAACAATGGGAAAGGGGGGTGAGTTGTGGGCTTCTGGTTCGTTTTATTCTTTCTGTACGGCACACGAAACTGAATGTTATATACATTCTACATTCTACTCAAGCAAATCAGAGCTGGTATTTATCTTTTTCAAAGTTGTTATAAACGTGAGACACTGTAAAAGGAAAAGGGGAGCATTTATCATGTCTGTTATCTTATATTCAGAGTCAATATTGCCAAATACTTCAGTTTTAATAGTTGAGCACCAAAAATTCAGATTTTTTCTTCCCCTAGGTGGTTGGTTCAGTTTTCTTAACAGCCAGTGCTGATCTACAGGAAACATTAGTTTAGTTTTGAAGATTATGGGGGGAGAGGAAAACCTTTATAATGGAAATATTTCAGGCTGTTCATTTTAATGTATAAGCCACCACTCTGCCAATGAGCATTTAAGGTTATAACCTAAACAAACATCTGTTCTTATTTTTGCTGGCTCTATGAAGAATGGAACACCATGCAGCCTCCTCCTCCTCCATCATTAATATTCCTTTCCTGACTTGCCCATTGCGGAGCCTAATTGAAATTCACAAAGATTAAAAGCATGCCATTTAAAACCCTGCAAGCAGGGAACCTAGAGTCTTCTACTTGATGAGAACATTGTACTTCACCTTGCATCTTCCTGTTCTGCTTCCTTGTGTCAGTTTCTGTTAGGAACCCTCTAACTATGCCGTGTAAATCGCCACTAAGCTGTCTATATTTTGACCAATGCAACCATATTTGCCATTGCTTCCACAAAATTTCGCTTTCATGAACCACATAATCTCTGAAAATATGTTCACATTCTATTCTGATGCTTTCTTATCACCATTCTTTCTCTTGATTCTGATACAGAAAAAAATAGATTCTAATTGCTTGCTTCCATTTTAAAACTTTTATGAATTGAAGTGATTTTTTTTAAAGAATGAGCTTTGTGTGTTAAACTTGTAATCTCACTGACTTATAATCTGCATTTGAGAAACTTCATAAAGTTCTAGCAAGCTGTCTGGAATGATTTTTCCCTCACTACTTAGTTTCTTTGAAAGTGTGTGTTGAAACAGTTCAAAGAGTTAGATACACATTTGCTTGACCTAGAGTAAAGCCAGAATTTTTAAAATCATAAAATTCTTATTTTTATATTCACCCCCTCCCCATAAAATGTTTTATGGTTTCTATTAATGTTAGATGTCTATGATTTAAGCTTCAGAGAACATTAAAGGAATTGGGAATCAGAAAAGCTGATATCCAAGAGCAATCATCAGCCTCACAGTGGCATCCAGAAAGATGTTTGCTGCAGTACTGGGATTGCCTAATCTCTTCAAAGGTCGGAATGCAGTCTGGTTTTCCTCTTAGCTCTCTATGGTAGAGTGTGAATTAACTGCCTGAACTTGGAGAACCTGGACTGGGTTTGGTGACTAAGCTTTTCCTTCCGAGTTCCCTTAAACATGTCCTGGAGAAGCTGACCCTGAAAAGTTAATGGCTAATTGGTTGCCAGTAAATCCATTCCCATCCGTGCTTGGCCAGTGCAGAACCTCTTGTGTTGAACCCATTTGATTTACTCATCCAAATTGGATTTGAGCAAGAGGAACATTACATCTCCAGCATCCAAAGCCACATAAAGTCCAAGAATAAATGAAAGAAAAAAATTGGAGCCCTTTTATTTCTGTTACATTTTTTCCGTATATTTCATAATATTGTATAATTTTCAGATTTAGTATAAAAGCTGTTGCTTTCTTTTCTACAGACCAAATGGGCACTGCTACTCCAAGACCTCCACATGTCTAGAGGTCATAACAACACTTGAAACTTTCTTACAGAAAACAAATAGGATACATAGTTTGAGTATGTATATATATATATATATATATATATATGTATATATATATATAAAGAGTGAATTGTAGGAGCTTTTTTTACAATATAGGGAAGCTAGAGACAACTGGACACCTTGACAATAGAGACACCTTGTAGAGCATGATGCTGTGGTGTGCTCAGCTCTAAATAGGCCAGTGACATCACACCATTCCTCTCAAGTTTCACGGACCATCACAGAAGAGAGAATGGGAAGACAGTAGGAGACAGAGGTAGTGGAGGTCTACAGCAAGTCAGTGCTCTCTGGAAAGGACAAGGCCATTGGACACATGATCTCAAAATAGCTGTGTCTGCATGTAAAAGGACCTGTACAAGAGCAAACCAGAAAAAATGCCAGCAAATATTCATGAAGTCCCAGCCCTTGCTGGAAAAACCATTGGCAATTGATAGCTGCCTGGGAGGAAGGGTAAGTTTTCCTCAGGGATGAGGCCAAAAGACCACCCATACTCCAAACGATGGTCCTAAACTCAAGCACATAGAGACCAGCACTAGGTGGATTCAGTGAGTTATAAAAGTAAAAGTGCATATATAATTGGGAGGGGAAATTAGTGGAAGAGATTGTGGAGGAATTGGAGGATAGGGAAAGGAAAGTGGATTTGATCAAAATATATTACGCCCATGTATAAACCTCTCAAACAATTTTTCAAAATTTATAAAAAGAAATACACAAATGTTAAAACAAATTTGTGTAAAAAGTAATGTTAGATAGGTAAATAAATAAAATGAATGAGAACATCTTAATAACATTTCTACAGACTGTAGTTTTCCATTTGATTTCTCATACTCTAAAATGATAACCCAGAGTTACTTATTAACTATAGGTAAACTGTTTAGTGTGTTAGTGCAAAATAAATTTTAATTCAAGTGAAGATATATGGATTGCTGAAATGGCTTATCCAACAATGACAACAGTCAGCTGGTAAGCCTGAGGACTTGGTGTCTAATTCTTCAGGATTAAACAGACAAGAGAAAATGGACTCCATGTGCCTATCATGACATGTCCCTTTCCCCAAAACAAGTAAGCAAATATTTCTTTAAAATAAATAATAAATACCCACAAAATACCAAATAAGAATACAAGTCAGGACTGAAAGCATGCAGTCTTGTTTACAAAATTAAAAACATGGATACTTTAATAATTCCAAAATGTGCTTTGAATGTAAGCCTGTTTTCTCAAATTCACCAAGTTAGAAAAACAAAAACAGAGAAATGAAAA